TTCCGGGGCAACGAGCCCTACTCAGCGCACTGCGTCTGCGCCGGGGCTCACTCCACGGCCGCGCGCGCCCACAGAGCATGGCTGCCAGTGAACCTCCTCCGCCTGAGTCGTCCCCGAACGTGGAGAACGAGGCTGCCCAGCAGCACAGGCCCTCGGTCTCCTGGAAATTAACCTCGCCCGCCGACGCGGCCGCCAGGAAGACCAGTGGCATTTACCCGGCCTCAGCCGCGTTCCAGCGCCACCGGCTCATCAGCCGCCCCGAAATCAACTTAGGGACCCAGCCGCAGATCTGTTTCCTGCAGCCGCGGACCTCGCAGCCGCTAGTGCTCTTCAGGTGCGGACGGTCCGGGTGTGGAGAGCGTCTGTCGGACACCGGGGCCCTTGAGGGAGCTCGAACTACCTCGGAACCCCGCCCCCTCAGTTGGCCCCCGAGACCCCGGCGCTGCCACTCCCAGAGCCTGGCTCTGTCCGGGACCCCAGGAGAGTGGATGCCCCACAGACTCCGGGGAGGAACCGGAAGTTCCACCTGCAACCCACAGGTCCGACCAGGCTCGTCCCAGCCCCGTCGGCTCCCAGGCTGGACCTCGTGCAGCCCGGGGCCCCCCAGCGCCCTTGGGGCCGAGCCTTGGATGTCCCTTCAGGCCTGACACCCCTCTCCTCAGCTTCCGGGTTCCCCAGGGGCCCTGGGAAAACCTCTGTTTCCCCCAGGCCGGCCCCAGTCCCCGTAGACACCCATTTCTCCCCGCTATTTCCATTTCTCACCCCTGGCCAGCATCCTCCAGCCTCCCCCAGAGAGGCCTTGCTTTGGAAGACAGTTTGGTTCAAAATGACCATTTATTACTTGAATGGTCCCTGCCTTTTTTTCCAGTCCCTGCCTTTTTTTCTCCCTTCGTAGGGAATATTGGTAAATTTGGTGCACCACTGAATGGGAGACATGTTTCATGTGTCTTAAATATTTTAAGTTTTGTTGTTTTAAACAGGATTTGGAGGACTTTTGTATGTGTGCATCTTGATCCCTATATGAACACCCTTTTTCTCTTTTTTATATATTTTTATTGATTTCAGAGAGGGAGGGAGAGGGATAGAAACATCAATGATAAGAGAGGATCATGGGTGGGCTGCCTCCTGCACACCACCCTCCAGGGATCAGGGGATCCAGCTGCAACCCGGCATGTGCCCCCGACCTGAATCGAACCCGAGACCCTTAAGTCTGCAGGCCGATGCTCTATCCACTGAGCAAAACCAGCCAGGGCTGAACACCCTTTTTCTTCACCTCGTGCCTTTGCTGTCAGAAAAATGGAACTGGGAGATTGGGACCGTGTGTTTATTTCCACCAGCTTGTGAATGTAAAAACTCATAAAATCATGATTCCAAATCGGCTGAATTAGAAAAAATTGTTTAAACTCCCAGAATGTTTTCTTTTAAAAAATTGTCCTTTTTTTTGTAGGTATACACTTATTATAGAAAAATCAGACGAGCAAAAAGAATGGCCAGAGACAATCCCTTTAACATTTTGATATGTATTATTCCAGATCCATTCATATTCATATATGTTTACACATTTGGGGGTGAGGGTGTGTCATCAAAAAGCTCACTAATTTTTAAAAAAATATATTTTATTGATTTTATACAGAGAGGAAGGGAGAGGGATAGAGTTAGAAATATCGATGAGAGAGAAACATTGATCAGCTGCCTCCTGCACGCCCCCTAGTGGGGATGTGCCCGCAACCAAGGTACATGCCCTTGACTGGAATCGAACCTGGCACCCTTCAGTCCACAGACCGCCGCTCTATCCACTGAGCTAAACCGGTTAGGGCTAATTTTTTTTTAAAATATATTTTATTGATTTTAGAGAGGAAAGGAGAGGGGGAGAGAGAAACATCAATGATGAGAGAGAATCATTGTTGGCTGCCTCCTGCACGCCCCCCACTGGGGATCGAGCCCACAACCCAGGCATGTGCCGTTGGCCGGAATCGAACCCGGGACCCCCCAGTCCGCAGGCCGACGCTCTATCCATTGAGCCAAACCAGCCAGGGCAAAAAAAGTTCACTAATTTGTAGCCTGCTTTCCTCCCCACCTACTACACTATGAATGTCTGTTTTATACACAACTGCCGAGTATTTTATTGTAGGATGTAACCACAATTTATTCAGTTGCTTCCCTGCTGTACATTTAGTTTCCAAAGTTTAGAAAGAAAATATGAGCAACTATTTTGAAGTGGGCAAAAACATTTAAAGGTACATAATTGTAAAGTCACTTCATGGTATAACCAAAATTACCAAAGAGTGAAAACTCAGTGCCTGATATTATTTTTGACCCAATCATTCTCTCTAGTTTCACCTGGCTCATTTCACTCCACCCCTCCCGACCCCATACCATCTTCTACCTCTCACCCTCCATTCTCCTCCAACATTTGTCTGTCCCATACTTCCCTTACTTTGACTTTTTCCCCCAAACCCTTTTCTCTTAGAATTCCCGTGTTAGGCAACCTAACCTCTGTCCAAACTCTTTGAGCCTCCTTAGATCTAGGTTCTGGAGCAAGTGCCCCCACTTCAGCGCCCCTCAAATTCAGCCCTTCGAACCCTACCCTACAACTTCTGCTCCTCTTCTCTAAGACCCCCCACTTTCCATTTCCTCCTGCATTTTCTCCTTAAGACGGCTGCTCCAGCAGACAGTTCTGAGTCCTTGTTGACCGTTCCCTTGTGGACTGCTCTTTCTCCATCCTCAGGATGGCTTTTCCTCTCGGCATTCAAGGAACTACCCCTTTAGCGCACAATTTTCCCACAAGAAGAAACCTAGGCCTCCCTTGCTTCTCTGGCAATTATGACAGAGCTGTTCCTCTCTCAAGAAACCTGGGGAGGCCTCAGCCACTATCCCAGGACCCTAGCAGATCAGGCCCTGGCCTAGCCCTGGCCTCAGCCATCTTAACCTGTCCCACCTTCCTCTGCCCCTCCAGCTTAATGAATTCCAGCGAAGCGGCCGTGACAAAATTTTTACCCAAGAGCCACTTATCTCGGGTGATTATTCGTGACAACCTCAGTGCGCAACGAATCTATGAGTTGGAGGTAAAGTCCTCACAAGCTTTTGTGTTAGAGGGTGTTGGTGGCTTGACCCATGTTCGTTTCACTCTCCCTGATTCCTTGGGGGGAGGGGTCCCAGGTCTTAGAGGGGATGGGGAGTCACGAAGGTGCTCTAATGCAAGTCCCATTTTCTGGAGGAGTCTGAAACTCGGGGTTACTGACTTGCCCAGGGTGTCACTGCTGTTCCTGTGCTGATGGCGCCTGGGAAAACGATTTCATGTTTTGGATCTCGTGGCATTCTC